AATGAACTTCCTCTTTTCTGATTACTAGAATTAGAAAACTCACTGTTTCTCTTTCTGACTTGGCTGCCAGGAAGCTCAGTGCTGAACTAAGGACCTATTTCAGTACATGCTTTCCTGCTCATATTGAAGTATTTTCTCTTCATTCTTTTCCATGACTTTTTTTACTTCATGGTTGTTTATTTCTATTATATTATTCCAACATATCTAAATTCTATATATACAGAAAGCAGGGAGTTCATTCATTTCAACAAGAAATTCATTCCAAACCATTCATTGTGCATAAATCATGTGTCAGGCACTATTCTGTACTAGATGGGGACGCAGTTAATTAAAAGATGATTTTCACGACAGAAGTGAATATATCTAACTGTATTCTTGAGAAGGGAAAAAAGCTGCAATCAGATCAACTTTGAGAAGATGAAAATTTAAAAGAACTTTCATGAAAGAAATGCTCTCCAACATCAATTTAACCCTCAGGAAGAGACAGATAACATAGTGAGTATAGTTATCTTTTGACTGTTACTCTTACATGGAAAACTAGTTAATTATACAACCCTCTTCTCAAGGGTCCTGTAATAAAACCAGCCTTCATCTTTGGGCATGTACCAAGTATGAATAACACTACTCATGAAATAAAAGCTTTTAATAAATTGTCCTTAATAACAGAGATCAATTTAAACATTCTAACTTCCAAGAAAGGGGCCTTTGGGTCTTAGACTTCCTACATCGGAGCTTCTGATGTAACAAGTTTTTAGTATCTACTGGGGCAAGCCAAGAGATACAACGCACTTTGTGTGGCTGATCAGGCAAGGGTAACTGTTGACTGGTAAAGCAGGTCCTGTTTATAGATGATTTCAAGGTTGGTGGCCCTAAATTTGCCCTTGCTTTCAGCTTTGTTTTGCTTTACTGGCTTGCAAATATGTGTCACACAGTGACCCTAGGGTGGCCTGCCTGCTGCCAGCCTGATGTTGAGAAAGGTACTGAAATTTACAAGGATCTTGCCCTTGGCCTCCACGCTCAGGGTACAGCATTCTCACACACTTTAAAGTGTTGCCAGCTCACAATAGCCTTGTAGTCAGGGAAGCCAGCCCATCAAGGCTGCCCACAGATGCATGTGCATGTCACCTGCCCCAGCAATTGCAAACAGACTAACACAGCTCTGGGCAACCTGATTGTCTTCCCTTTATAAGAGAAAGCTGTGTAAATAATTATATTTCAGATAGGGCAAAATATTGGATTTCTTAATTTGAACTATGTGCACTTACCCTTCTCAGGCTAACATAAAGGTCTTTAAATAACAGAGCTGCCTGTATTTCACTGAGAAGCTTAGTTAAAACATTTTTTAAAAGTGGTGTTATGCCTTGGTGACTTTCTAAGCGAACCCAAACACTGGAGTGGCCTACACTTTTAAAGTAATTGTAAGAGCATCTCAAAGGATTCAGAGAAGCAACAAATAACAAAGTGACCATTGATCTTGAAAAATTAGAGTGCTCTAATGAGAAAAAAGCAGACCAAGAATAAAAAAAGATACCAAGTTCCTTTCAAAAATGCTGCAAGGAGAATTTTAGACTGCTGCAAAGTAATCATTTCATTAATTTACGCAACAACACTCAAATTTTGTGGGACAGGATATAACAGGGTCAAGATGGTCAGAAGTATAAATACAGGTGAAAACCTGTAACTTTATGTTAAATGGGTGAGAGAAGAGTCGAAACAGGATCAGCACCACTGAGTTGGAGGTTTCCAGATCTCGGCATTTGACATCTCACTCTCACGTCACTATGTGGGTTAAATCGCAGAAGGACAAAACAGGGACAAGGGGACCAATTTCGGGAAGGCTACTGAGGCTCCCCTCCTCAATTTCGTTTAGATCTGTCTTTCTGGGCTTTCTTTCCTAATGGCATTTCGTTTGCAGGAAAGCCCTTCGTATCTTTCGGCCTAATTATCTCATTGTACGAATCTTTGAAAAGGAAAGAACTGCAGTTTGCTCTGCTCATGAACATCTTTTCTTCTGCCCTGGATCTTACTAAGCCTTCAACTAACTCTCGTTGAAAAGGATGTCGCTGAGGGGCGATGAGGCTTGAAATCCCGCGGTTTTCTCATTCTCTTTTCTTTCTCTCAGATGCCACCCCTACACCTCGCTCCCCCACCCTCCACAATCCACTACCGTTTTTAAGCATGCTGGGGCGTTTTAAACAGCTCCCTCTGTTTCTCCCTCTGACCCGAGAAGCACTTTCAAGTGGAAGACAGACAAGGCGCCTGACTAGGGGATAGGCAAATGCGATACTTGAGGGGAATAAAAGACCTAATGGAAAAATCCAGGGCTGCCTAATTGCGATTAAGTATTCTGCAGATAAGTGAGCATATTATTGTTTTGGTCCTGTTCAAAACGTCGAGGTCTTTTGCCTTATGCATTCTTGTGTATTTAACAGACTACATAACGCTCACCATGTACTAAGCACTATGCTAAACACTTTTAAAATATTACCCTCTTTGCTTAAAAAATCTTTTTAAGCGACGTTAAATCGCCTGTGCTTTTCGAATGTCCCTGCCATATGTTTCTTTATAACATGGTATAGTGGTTAAGTCTTCAAAGACAAATATGGGAAAACTTCAACCAGTTGCTACTTTATTGCAAGCAAACCATTTCCTTCTTCGCAATTTTTCTCAATTATTGTAATTAAATACTCTAGTATAGTGAGAAAAAAACTCAATTTTTTTTCCCCGTGATGATCTCAGGCTTTGACCCCAGCGTTTGGCAGCGCCCGCTAATTTGATTCTGTGGGCAAGGTTAATCGCACCTGTAGGCATTCGCGTTCAGAAAAATGTGCAGCCTTCCCGGAAAGTTGTGAAGGCTGAGTTCGCGCCAGGCCGGAGGCGGCGTGTCCCCCCCGGGGCCGGCGCGGACTGGTCGCGGGAGCATCCGCCGGGGAGGTGGGGCGGGCGAACGGGCGTGCGTCAGGCTCATCCCTCCCGGGGTTACGAGGACCGAGAGCCGAGCGGCGTCGGGGGAGGTTCGAACCGATGGGATGCGAGCTCTCTCGGCTCCGCGCAGCGCGCTCTGGCGCCGGCAACGCAGCGAAGCAAAGGCCGCGAGACCCGCGCGGGCGGGACACCCTCCCTGAGGCCCACAGCCGAGCTGGGGGGTCATCGCCCCCCGCGGCCCCGAATTGACCGGGTCCAGCTCCACCAGGCCCCGCCCGGCCCCCGCCGACTGCACTTCGCCTGGTGTTAAGTTTCAGAAGTCAGGATGGAAAGTTTCGGGTTTCTGTTCACACGGTTACTGCAGGCGCCGCGGAGGGGACAGCACAAAAGAGACGAGGGCGTGTGGGGAAGGGGTTTTGTGGTTTAACGAGGGCTTAGCACGCGGGCTGCAGGTCCTTCCCGCTCTCCCCTGGCCTAACCCCCACCCGGGCCCGTTCTTTTCAAGTCGCATCCCTTCGTCTTCTCTCCGCCCCATGCCGGTCTTGTGTGGGGAAAGAACGCAGTGTCAAAGGCACGTCTTAAGCAGATCCCCAGAAAAATAAGAACCGTCTGTGAGGTACGGTTGTAGTGATTACTGATAGACGCCTCTCTCTCAGAGGCTTTTCTGCACTAAGCTCGGAGCTGCCCGGGCACGAGTGGAGTCTCGGGCTCCATCCCGACCAACCCGCCGCCCGCCTCCCGGTACCGCGGCGCACGGGCGGGCAAACCTACCCAGACTGCCCTCGCGAAGGCATATCGGCATAGCCGGTTCAAAAAAAAAAAAATACCTCGGAGTATGGAGAGAAAGAGCAGTTTGAAAACATGTTTTGAAAGTACACTTAATGTCCAATGCACTAAAAACTGGACACGAATTCGACTTTTAGAAAACAAACAAATTTCCAAGCGCGATTTTTTCCACGTCTTGGATTCTAATGAACTCTACCGCTGCGACTACACAAACCAGGGTGTGTGGAGAACTGCAATTATCTGGATAATCCCAGCCTGAGAAAGTCGAATTTGAAAGGTTACTAAAATTGTGTCCTGAAATACCCGCATCACTGCCCTAGTCCTTCCTACCACCAGAGCAGACACAACTCCAGCCCACGGCTACTCAGCGGGATCTATTATCCACAGCCCCAGTGGCCGAAAGGAGAGAAGTGATTTAGAGCAAATCGAAAATCGTCTGGCAGCCGGTCTCTCAGACCCTCCGACCGCCAGCGGGTAAGTACCTGGTCGGGGAAACTCACGTCCTTATCTGTTCACAGCCCAGAGGCCGCGGAAGTAGCCTTGGGAGTTGCCAGGGAGAAAAGCAACTTTGATTTAAGGTTTTCAAAAACCCCAGAGGGCAACTGTGACCGCCAGGGTCAGTCAGTCAGCAGTTTTGGTCCAGACAAGGGACAGCCGAGTGGGGCGGTTCGGTTAAGCCACGGCGCCTCCCGACGTCACACACGCTCGCTCACACTCAGCCACGCTCTTGGGGTTATTCTTTAAACACAGGACTGAAAGTTCACTGGCAGACGGCTGGATGCGCGGGAGCGCCAAACACCGACGTCCAGGGCCCGCCCCTCGCCGGCCCGCCCCCGCCGCACCCGCGCCCGCGCCAGTGCCCACGTCCGCACGCTTCCCTGTCTAGAGTTAGCAACTTTGCGCTCACGCTCACCGCGGCCTCTCCCCGCCCGCGCTCGGATCCCGGGCCCCAGATGCGCGGCCGCGTTCCCACGCCTCTGCCCTAGCTCCGCGGCAGGCATTGGCGAGCGCGGCCCCGCCCCTCCGTCCCAGCCAATCGCGGGCCACGCAATGACCCCCGAGGAGGCGGTGCCCGGCGGGGTGGCGGGGACTTGCGCGCGGGTGGTGAGCGAGGGGCCCCGCCCCCGCGGGGAGGCTTGGCCGGCGCCGGCTCTTGCAGCCGA